AGGAGAGGAGAGGAGAGGAGAGCGGAGAAGGAGACGCGGGGACTTTCTTCAAACCGAGAACCCAACACCACGGGATGGTTGGGAAAAACGTCGCGGACAAAATCACCACCGAAGCCCTGGACACCATCGTTCTCTAGCATCTCCTGAGATGGGTCGGTCCCGGTAGGCCTCCTGGGAGGCAACCGGGCGAGCAGGGCAAGGTGGGGCTGGAAGGCGCGTCCCCGCTGCACCTGGCCTGGTGGCTGCGGCTCCGGCCGAGCACGCCCCTCGTTCGGGGCGGGGGGGGGGTCGCCGTGCGTTTTTTCTATAGGTCGAGGCGCAAAGGGGAGCCTTGGTGCGCTTTTCAACAGGTCGGGGCGTTTTTGTTGGGGTGGACTGGCGGGGTTGGGGACTGGAGGGAGGTCGAAGGTCTCACATGGAGTTGTTGGGCTTCCACGGGGAGGGGAAGGGGAAAAAGCCAGGCGGAAGGTGTAGGGGGAGGAAAATGACGCAGAGGAGACGGAGAAGATGCGAGGAGAAGGGGTGGAAAGGAGGAGGAGGAGGAGGCGGAGGGGGAGGAGGAGGGGGAGAAGAAGGAGGAGGGAGGAAGGATAAGGAGACAGGCAAGACGGCGGCGACAGGCGGACAGGCGGCGACAGGCGGCGACGGGCCTGGTGGTGACAGGCGACGGCGGCGATGACGACGGGCAAGGTCGACGAGAGGAGGATGAGGAGGAGGATGGAGGAGGAGGAAGAGGAGGAGGAGTATGATGAGGAGGAGGAGGGGGGGAGGGAAGGGGATGGGAGGGGAGGGGAGGGGAGGGGAGGGAGGGGAGGGAGGGAGGGAGGGAGGGAGGATGAGGACACAGAAGACCGCAACATTGAAGATTGAAGCGCCAAGCCAGCTCCCAAGCTTTGCATAACATACTGTCAAAATTGTATGCAAGAGTCTCCCATGCCGAATGACGTCGACAAGCGCAACTCTAGAAATCAATATCGCCCATGCTGCCATAATGCAGAAACAGACATGCCCGATGGCCTCCCCAATATGTCTGCACCGCATCGACCGCGACTGCACACAGCCACACATCATAAGCTGAAAAGAGACTACCGAAAAAGCACAGTTCATAAGAAAACAATATACAAAAGGGCCGATATCTATGTTCAAGGGTCCAACGTCACTGAACTTCTCGAGGATGAACAGAGCCTTGAACTTCTTCGCTTGACAACAGTATTCACCGGCTTCGAAAGCGGTGCCCCAATACGTATCAGCATCATTGTGTAGCGGTGCGAAACCAGTCACCTTGTTAATGTAGTCATAGCACTCCGTGTTAGCCCCCCCGCACGCAAATTGATGAAGGAGTCCCCCCTCGTCCCGGTGCGGGGTCAGGAAGCTGTTGCACTGGCTGCACACGTCCCCCAGGGGCGCGCCGTCGACGCCGTCGCACGTGGTGCACAGGTCCCCCAGCGAGGCCCATATGGAGACCATCCACATGAACACCAGAGAGAAACAATACACCAGCAGCCGCTCCCGTCGGCTTATTGGGTGCAGCGGGTGAGAGTAGCAGATTGCCAGAATCGGGTTCATGTTGATCATGAAATACCATAAATCTTCTCTGAAGTTCCCCACCCAAACAGCTTTATTGTGGGCCATGTCCAGACGAAGCATCAACTCCTGCGCCGTGAACTCTTTCTCGTCTTTGGGACTTTCTCTGCCGTGTCCCGTCCAGGCCAGAATCTCCTCGTAGGTCCCGGCGTCCATCGGCGGTGGCGACGTCCACGCGTCGCACCCGCACGTGGGGTCCCCCGAGACCTCGGAGCTCGACTCGCTGCTGGACGGGCAGCCGTCCTCGTCCGAGGGTGATGGCCAAGGGAATGGGCTGGATCTGTCTCGCATCTCAGCGTATAGTGGGGTCTGAGACAGCAGATCTCGCATTGTCACGAACGCCGCCAGCACATTCCAGCCGGCAAGCCATGAGACAGAGAGCACCACCGCGCACCACCGCCTGGCCTCAGCCTTGGGCCAACTTGAGCCAAAATGGCTACGGAGGGAGGGAGGGAGGAGGAGGAGGAGGAGGAGGAGGGACGAGGAGGAGGGGAGAGGGCCAGAGCAAACCCAAGATGTGTCGGCGACAATGTAGTACACCCTCCCGTCCCAAGTCCTATTCTCGCAAGTCCTCACAAGCGTTGCGCTTCACTGCCCGAGGCACCCACCTGAAAGGCAGGGCCTTCTGGGCCCGCATTCAGGCGGGAGCTCCATTTTGAGAAGGAACTGCCCTCCATGCTCCGAGCTATGATGAGTTATACGAGTTTGCAGCATACTAATGAAGAGAGGGAATCTAACGACGGCCCCGCTCTGACAAGGAAAGCGCCCTCTGTCCGAGCCAGCGCTGCAGCGGGAGCACGATTCGGAACGAGCGGAAGCGCGGAAATGAGGCCAGCGCTGCCAAAACAACAAAAACAGTTCCCGGGAATCCTGTGTAAAAACAATACGCGGAGGAGAGAGGAGAGCAGTATTCATA